AATCGAAACATTGAACGTCGCGTGAAAGTAGATCTTAATGAAGGCCTAAGTACTCTTTCGTAGCTTTTAGTTTTAGGATTTCAAAGATCGTCGGTTTGCTTACTGAGCAGAAAAACGCGGTCCCAGGTCCTCTCATATTAAAAATGTATGGTAAGATCGCTTGTTTATCGTGTATTTTGTAAAACTTTTCGTTGTCGTCGGTGCCGGGTGTGAATAGTTATGAAAACTTGAGTAACGCTTTAATGTGATATGAGGGGCTCGGTGGCTTTAGAGCAACCGGTTTTGCTTACTGAGCAGAACATCATGAGTCTAATCTCAAGCCCATCCACATTCAAGATTCGTCAATCGTTTTATTTGTTAACATAACAGCAACTCGATGATTAAAAAAGAGCTCGTCTGCCTAGTGTCAAACGTTTTTGCTTACTGAGCAGAAGACCGTGGGTTCAATCCTAATCTCCTTCGCGTTTTATGATTGTTAGGACCAGGCTTCCAAATAGTACAGCCTCCTCGCGACAGTTGGTTTATACCTGAATTGACTGTTGCTTTGTGTGCTTTACTGCCGCTTGCTACCGTACGTTCAGATCTGAATTCGAAGTGTATTGGCAACAGCGCACGCACGAACGAATGAAAGCTGTATTAGAACAGTCGCATCTATACCCGCTTTGCTAAAATCATCGTGCTTGGAACGTAGTGAACCGAATGGGCTGTATTTATACATTTCTTTATGACCAGGTTCTCAATGTTTCTGTCGTCATAACAGCCTTCACAAACCGACGACATCCCTCAGTTTACCCAAGTGGCTGTCACGAAAAGACTGTCACGAGACATTAAGGTGATACTCTATAATGAAGCCTTAGCGTGAAACATTAAAGGCACAAATGTCAGCTTCCTCAAAACATACAAATTTGAAATTGCGACTCCTTGTTTGCTCTGCTACTACAAACAGAGAGTAGCAATTTCAAATTTGTATGTTTTGTGGAGGCTGACATTTGTGCCTTTGGGTTTTCTCGCTAAGGCTTCCTTAGAGTATCACCTTAAATACAATTGATATACGGCAGTGGAGTATGGAAGAAACCCAGAAGAATGATCCCGAACAGATATGTCGGCCGGATGTCGGATCAATGTAAGGTCAATTTATGGTCGACGTCGGCCAAATGTCGGGTCGATGTTGGGTCAATTTTGTGTTTATGTCGGGTAAATGTCAGGCCAACATCGGGTTGGGGTTTGGTAGAAGTCAGGTTGGTGTCGGGTAGGCTTATATTTTTCGCCGGAGACCGCGCGTTTTAAAAAAAATATCGGATGAAAATTTTGCAATGGGCATCACGAACGTGATAGCAACCGAACGAGCCCCGGTGCCACACTGATAGTGTAGTAGCAGTCTTACGACATAAAAACAAAATTTCAAAGACAGCAGCAACGAATCGGCACTTCGACGGACTGCTTGTTGTATGTACGAGGAACGTTACGAATGACCATCCGAGGCTGTCATAGCCGAACGAACAAAATACATGACTAAGAACGAGCTGTCGTGTACTGCACAAGACGGCAACGTTGCATGTCGTATAACAGCCTCACTGTGGGCTGGCGCTTATAGCTCAATCTCAAGGCTGTCGTAGGGAAAAGAAAGCGACAGCCGTTGGAATACTGTCATGAGGCGGTACTTTTGGTATGCCTGGTTAGGACATCAATTCAGCTTATCGTTTACCAAAACGAACCCTGCTGCAAACCCAACCCTATTACCCAATATCCCAGTGATTCCTCGTGGAAGTGCAGAGGTGTTCTCGACTTCCATCAAAGCGAGTGTCACGTCAACACATTCCTACCCATTCCTTTCTTGACCTGCGTACAGGCGCGGCTGGCGCTGGTATTGCCTGATTCGCGATCATCAGTTTTTACACATTGAGGATGATTGCTAGTCCCAAGAATCGTCTGTTGGTTCTCTGTGTAATTACAGCTGGTCTGGCAATAACAGAATAGCAACCGTGGGCGGTCAATCATGCTCATGCTCATGCACAAGACCTATTGGATGACACACAGTTTAGTTCAGTATTCTGTCACCAGCGAAGTAAAGGTGCCTTTGAAGTAATAATTCTTTAAATCGAAATTTTGATAATTTCTTCCTATAATTCATAGTTATTACGTCTCAACTGGAACTTTGCTTTTGTCTTAAACTTTCATTTCATCTGCAGTTTTGGGATTGCCGTCGTTACTTGTACAATGGAGATTATACGAATGTAACGTATTGATTTGTCAGTATACGATTTGCTACTTTCATGGCATAACCAGCGAAACAAAGCCGGACAAAGACTTATCAAAATGGTACCATAATGTTTGCAACTTTAAATACAATAATGACCCGATTTTGACAGCCGCTTCGTGCATCAGACTCTTATTTTTCAATAGTTCCACGTAACCGTAATTCCAAATCTTTCTCATTGATCTTCAAGATGGATGCTTAAGGTATGCTTTGGTGCAATAAGACGACTGAAAAATCGAATAAGTTTCGTAGAACATTAGAAAATGTTTTCAAAAAGGGGGCTGATAAAATCGGGTCATTACTCTACAGCCCTATACCTTGTGTAAACGAGGATAGATCAGTTCAAACTCACAAAAATATGTTAATCTGATACAATTTAAATTACGTTAAATTTATTGAATTACAGCGTTCGCTATTTGATAGATTTTTGTTTGAACACAGATAAAGGACAAACTCAAACGAAATTCAGTTTATCCGTCATAATTTAGCAACATTAAAATGTAAAAATATGATGTGACGTACTTATATGAATTTAAACCGGCTTGTTATATGAAATGCATTTTAAATAGCGAATTTCCACTCCAGTTATTGTAAATAAACATTATTCAACTGAAAATCGGTTGTACATCTTTGGAACCTAAGTTTGAATGGGATAGGAACTGAATTTTGAAATATGAAAATTGAATTCAATTAAGGACATTGAATGTCCCCTAATTTCAAAACTTTGAATTGAATGTTTGTTTATTTTAGAATAAAATTTATAAATCAATATTTTTAATTATTAAGTAAATTACTAAGCAAAATAACAATCTCGTTGTCCTACGCTTAGTTTAACGACAAATACCGCTTTATGATTATTTTTTTTTTTTTTTTTTTTTCTTTGGTTTGTTTTTTTTCCGTCGATCTTGTTTTCCGTGCTGAGCACCAATGCTACCGACGTGCCAGGAAGGCAGCTTCCACACCTGGACCCTACCTATCGACCCATCAACTCATGAACCGGGGACCAACGGCTTTACTTCCCATCCGAAGGAAGGCGTGATCAGAGATGTTATGCCTCAGAACATCCCGGCGGCGCCGACTGGGATTGAACCCAGGCCTGCTGGGGTGAGAGGTAATCACGCTTACCACTACACCACCGGCGCCGTTCTTTATGATTATGTTGAATGATATTGAACGTCAGTTAAATACAATTTATGCATGCATATATGTTATGAAAAACTCGTCAATGCAATCATTGGTAATCTCATGATGAGATTCTATCAAGATTTATCTTGATATTCGCTGAAAATTTTCTACGTGACAACTAAAAACACAACTCCATAATGATCAATTTCACCCCTGGTGATCAATTTGTCCCCGGATTGCGGTACAATGCATTCGAACCGTCTGGCCACGTTAATATCGAACCGTATTGGAAAGAATACTATCACATTTCAGAGCACCTTGAACTCAAATGATGAATGACAAAATCTGTGTAACTGTTACGAATAAATTTGTTCCCCTCTCTTCGCCGCATCACGGAGGCTTCGGGGGTCTGGTGGGGGTGTGAACAGCCCCCGACGACGATCCTAAAATAGCTCCCGCGAGTGGTTGGGCCAGACACAAAAGGGCTTCGGCGCGAGTCATCAATTTCCAATAACGCAATTTTTCAAAACCAAATTGAGGCGAGCGCTTGGTAGGATGGTTGTCGGGGAGTTTTATTTGTCCCATCACGATCCCCTTCTAAGCGAATAGCGATTTTTTTTTGCGTTTTGCGATTCTAATATTGGGTAGAAATATGGAAGCCCTTTTCTCGTCGTCGTCGTCGTCGTCGTCGTAGCTTGAAACTCCCCCTCAATTGGTATGGTGAGAGGCTTCGAGGAAATTGAGTAGTCGCTTATACCTACTTCGTTCGGGTGGGAGGAAGGAGGGTGAGCTTTCAGGAAGGTTCATTAATAACACTGCTCGTGCTCCCATCCTGATTTGGAAAGTAGAAAGTTTGAAGGAATTCTCGGAGGCAGGTGGATGGGTCTTCTATCTCCTAGTTCGGTGGAGTGCAGATTCGCGAGAATTTGCGCGAATGGCCAGCAACTCGAGCGGGCTGTAAAATAGTGCCTGCTCCACCGGAAGAGATTCGAAAGTCAACACCGAAAAAACCTCGGCAATGAGTCATCATTTAAAAGTAATTTATTTTCCTCCTTAAAATTACTTTTCATCGAGTATTTTTTCGTTCCTGATCGGTTCGTTGTCGGAATGTGGGTGGGGAATGTAAGGGAACTGTATGATTGGAAAGTCCTACGCTTTGGAGCGAGTGATTCACTAATGCGTTCGATATTTTCCCGATGATGGGATGTCCTTCCTTAGGCGGAATGATATTGGATCATTTGGCGGAGTGGAAGAGGAGGCGGAAAGGACAAAGGGAAGCATGAACGTTGCAAAAATAGAAAGTAGCAGATATATAGCTTATGAGGCGTGTAGGGTAGCTATAGTGTGGCAAAGCTGGGCTTAGGCTGAAAGCTGTTTCGCGTTTCCGGAGAGGTTTTTTTGCAGAGTAATGAAAATTTTCCAACGCGTTACGTGTGCTTTGCTGGAGGCGCATGTCACGTTGATGGGTTTCTTCAGAAATTTCTAGAGGAAAGTGTAGTATAAGTGATGCAATATGATGAAAGTTGAAGAGATCCGACGATCTCACCCTGTTTGATTCCAAAATGGATCAAGCTCGGAGATGCCGTACAACTGCAATAAAATTAGCCTAAAAGCAACCTTACGCCGTAATGACATCGATCACTTCATCCTCGTCAATATCATCATCATCATCATCATCGTCGTCGTCCCCATCACCGTCTTCGCTGCGAGCCGTACTACCGCTTCTTGCGGTCAACCCTTCGAACCCACTGCAAGTATTGGTCGTCGTCGTAACGACATCGATCGTCATGCTACTATTCTCGTCCTGAAGCTGCAACTCCCTTTGCCGCGCCTCATCCCGATCGATATCCTGACTACTGTGGTAGATCTTCCGCCCGCCAACCATGTCGTCTTCCTTGTAGCACGCCGACTCCAGATGCTTGTTCAGGTAGGACTTCAGCGCGAACGTCTTGTGACACCGTTGACACTCGAAGTTCTTGTCGGTAGAGTGTGTCTGCATGTGGGCCCGCAGATTCGATCGATCGGCAAAGGCCTTGCCACAGTGGCCACAACCGTACGGCTTTTCACCGGTGTGTGACCGGAGGTGACCCTGAAGCAGCCACGGACGGGAGAACAGCTTACCGCAGACGCCGCAGCTGTGCGACAGTTTGTGGGTGAGTAGATGCATCGCTAGGGCCGGCATGGAAACGTACGCCTTGCCACAGGTTTGACATTTCTTTGCGGACTGGGAATCTAGGCTCCGATGGGTTTGCTTGTGACGCGAAAGATTACTGGAAGTGGCATAGGTTTTTCCGCACTCTGGGCAACGGTATTTGCCTTTTGGGGACGTGGCTACCGGAGCCGGGTTGGTGTCCGCTGGAGGTTGATTTTGGTCGACGATGGGACTGGATGAATCCTTGGGTGGTGAGTTCGTAGGCTTCTTGCGATTTTTGGACCGTCCATCACTGGAAATGAGATCATCGTACGTGTAGAGCTCTGCGGCTACCGGTTTATTCTGAGGTTGATGGTGAACGGTTGTAGAAGACACCGATTGTTCCGATACAGTAAGATTGGCTTTTTTATTGCCTTGTGCGACCAGCGTTGTCGAGGGGCAAGCTTTTTTCCTCTTGATGAGCTGGTTGGAAGACGATACGAATGAGACCACCGACGTTGGAGCGGTTGGGGAAGAACCGTTGCTTTCCGTGTCAGACGAATGCTCCGAAGTGGGTGGAGTCAGCGGGGCGGCCGAAGCGATGGTCTTCGCCACAGGAACTGTCGTGGTTGTAATTTCGTAGCACGGTATAATCATCGATATCGGCCCCGATCCTGGGGGATACTGGTAGCTTCCGTCGACGATGTTTATGATACTGCCGTTCTGGACGAGCGTCGCTGCCGTTGGTTGGTCCGTGGCTAGCGGGGTGTGAGTTGTGGCGGTTGAAGTGCTAGACGTGACAAAGTTCACGGTCGGTTCCGAGCTGGGATGAAGGATTGTCACGACGCACGGAGCCGGAAGTGGGGGCAGGCTCTGCGATAAGGACAATAAATCATGAGCGGCTTCCGTTTCTTCGATGCTTCGATCGCGGAATATTGGCGAGGTGGTATCGTACTGGAATGGGCCACCCGAGCACGATTGACGACCTGTTGTACTGCTGCTGCTACTGCTGGAAGATGAGTTGGTGCCCACGGGCATCACAGGCGAGGGTGATTTATCTCCTTTCTTATCTGATGGGGGCTGCGTGTAAATTAACATCTGTTGTTCTCTTTTATTCGGATAATTATTATGGCTACGGCCGGATTTTAGCACCGTCGTCGGTACCGCTATGGCTGCTGCTGTCGATGATGCCGAAGGCGACTGGTTGACGACGGAATGGTTTGAGGAAGCACTTACCGTTAAATGTCTTGAGGAATTAGCTTTCACGTGGCTAATGCCGTTGCTGTTGCTGTTGCTGTTGATGGTGTTATTGTTGTTGTTATTGTTGGTCTTGATATTGGTGGTTGGTTCACATTTTACGCTCCGGTAATCGCTTAGCTGAATCGAGAATCCTGCAAGAGAGGAAGAAGAAAGGTAATTAAAATTAAAGCCATCGGGTCGGAATCCAATTAGTGTGCCGGTGTAAAAAAAAAACGGACAGGCCATGATGGTAACAAATTAGTGAGCCAAATTAATGTAGGGAAAAGATTTTCAATGGGTTGCCATTTTGAAGATGGATGTCGCTGTTGGCAATGATTAAGAAGGGTTGTTAGCAGAATTATTTCGATACGTAAATCACAGCTTTGAGCTGAATAAACTTAAAATAAAGCCAATCGGCAGAAGGTCTAGAGGACTTGGAGTGTACTTTGGAAAGTTTAAATTTTCATTAGAATGCAATCAATGAATGTCAGATTTTGATTTGTAGAACTTCGTTTAATAACCATGACTAAAATCATATATCAATATTTTAGTGAAGGTTTAAGGATCTTAAAACAATTTGTTAATTCATGATGGCTCAATATAGGTCATACACATTAACGCACAGTGGCGGGTCTCCATACAAAAGTCGGACAAAACCTAGAATGTTTCAGAATCTGGCTGAAAATCACATATTTAGTAAATTTGGGATTCAATTTTTGACGTCGAAATTCAAAAAAAAAAAAGTGTATCTTTCTGATATGAACCGATTAATAGACGTCAATTTATAATATTTTCTGTTTATTTTGGATACTAAATTCATTATCCAGGACATCACAAACACAAGTGAAAAAATAATGAATAATTAGTTTTGATTTGTGAAAACGCATACTAACCATTTTTGAGCAAGTGAAAATTAAGATCTATCACGTTTTAAGAGGTTTTTTAGTGATATTGTAATTAACGTGAAAACTCTGGGACAGGAATTTGTTTCGAGTAGCTGTGTTGCTGTGGTGTCGCGTTGGTCGGTTTTTCTTTTCGCTTGGTTTTGGTGCTTTGCCTCCCTCCCAAGAAGAGTTTTACCGGGTTTTTTTCTTTTCTTTTCATGGTGCTGGCGTTCTGCCTTCCGGAGGATGCACGCGAATGAGGTATTAGGCAAAAATTCGGTGCAAATGAAATACTTCGCATGTGATTCAAAATATTGTGTTCGGTTGTAAAAACAACGCGGAAGATTTTTTCGATTACCACGAGTGAACAAACCGGTTCCGGTATAAAATTGCATCGTAGTTTGTCAACTGTCCCTTATTGAAAAGTTCGGGATTGTTTAGTCTATAGTTTAGATGATAATTATGTGGTTAGAATAATGACTGTGTGTTACACAATATAAAAAATAAGCGGCGCCGGTGGTGCAGTGGTATACGTGATTACCTCTCACCCCAGCCTGCCTGGGTTCAATCCCAGTTGGCGCTGCCGGGATGCTCCGAGGCATAACATCTCGGATCACGTGTTCCTTCGGAAGGGAAGTAAAGCCGTTGGTCCCCGGTTCATGAGTTGATGGGTCGATAGGTAGGGTCCAGTTGTGGGAACTGCCTCCCTGGCGTCCGTAGAATTGGTGCTCAGCGCGGAAAACAAGATCGACGGAAAACAAATCAAGGAAAAAAAAAATCTACTTAGCTACTTAATTAATGCAACGCCTTTCCAACCCCTTAACATAATTACTGCTTATGTTTGATTTACTAATCACCATGCTCCTCCACATAGGTCATTTTTTTTAACACTCCGAATACGGTGGGTAAAATACTTTAAACCGACTTCGAAGCATCTGAAAAACGTGTTACAGCAAATTTGCAATGACATTACTTAGCCATTTCTTGATGAATTTCAAAAATTGTGGTACCTCTAGAATTCCTAGGCTTTGAAGATTAATTTAATTGCAGAAAGTTTGAAAATAAGGTCGTCTACTTTTGTCAAAAGTGAAAAGAGTCGTTACACTTTTTTTTAAGGGAGTGATTATGGGTTTTGCAAGTGGCTTAAGATCCATAATTTAGATTAATGGGCAAAAATGTTCATACTTATGGAGGCCTTATAGCCTAGTTAGTAAAGGCACGGTATTACCAAGCTGGAGGCGGCGGGTTCGATTCCCGATCCGGTCGAGGGAATCTTCCCTGGACATAGAATATCATTGTGCTTGCCACACAATATACAAATTCATGCATTGGTATTGGTATCGAGAGCTCTCAATTAATAACTGTGGAAGTGCATTTAGAATACTAAGTTGACAGCACGCAATAAGCTCATATGCGCTAAGCAATAAGCTTGAAAATGCGAGCAAGAAGAAGAATAAGAAGAAGAAGAAGAAGATGTTTATAATTAGCCTGAATACAGTCATGGTTCCTATATATGGAACCTGGAGATAACGGAACGGTCCTCGAAAGATCCGGATCTTTCGTAAAAGTGGTCTATTCATAAACCCCTGATCATAGAACTCCGTGGTTTTTTTCGAAAACATTAGGAACTGTGATATAAGAAAGAATTTGGGTTCATGACATAAACACGGACCTGGATGGCCATGAGAGCGTGCTCAGGAAGATCCGAAACATCTGTAGAAGTGTTCAATCCATGAAACTGATGCTAGAGCTCCGCGGTTTTTTTTTCGAAAAAACTTGGTACTGTGATATAAGAAAGAATTTGGGGTCATGACATAAACATGGGACCTGTATGACCGTCCTCCGGAAGATCCGAAACATCCGTAAAAGTGATCAATTCATGAAGCTGATCCTACAGCTCCGCAGTTTTAGAAAAACACTAGGGGCTGTGATGGTAGAATGAATTTGGGGTCGTGACAAACATGGACCCTGATATTTATGAGATATTCCGGAGTTCCAAGGGAATAAAAAAAACTGCTGAGCTCTAGAATCAGTTTCATGGATAAACCAATTTTACCGATGCTCCGAATCTTTTGAAGGACGGCTTCATAGCCATCCATGTTTATGTCACGACCCCAAATTCTTTCTTATATCACAGTTCCAAGTTTTTTCGAAAAAACCGTGGAGCTCTAGGATCAGTTTCATGGATTGAACACTTTTACAGATGTTTCGGTCCGTGTTTATGTCATGAACCCAAATTCTTTCTTATATCACAGTTCCTAATGCTTTCGAAAAAAACCGCGGAGCTCCAGGATCAGTTTCGTAGATTGAACAATTTTACGGATGTTCCGAATCTTCCGAAGGATCGTTCCGTTGTCTCCGGGATCTATATATAAGAACCATGACTGTATTCTAGCTAATTATGAACAGTTGTGCCCCTTTATCTAATTTATGGATCTTAGGCCACTTGCAAAACCCATAAACACTCCTTTAAAAAAACGTGTAACGACTCTTTTCGCTTTTCAATAACGACCCTATTTTTAATCTTTTTACAATCAAAATAATCTACAGAAACTAGGAATTCTAGGAGTACTTTATTTATTTTAATTAGTTAAGAAATTGCTAAGTTATGCTATTGCAAACTTGTCGTTACACTTTTTTCAGAGGCATCGTATTCGGAGTGCGCACACAGAAAAGAAATCTTCTACGCGTAAATCTTCCCTCCTTTAATTTTGAGCTAAAGTTGGCGTAATAATCGAAATTGATTGCAAGCTTGTATATAACATTGCTGGTGTATGCAATGTCGCTCTTAATTTTACATGAAATATCGTGCAAAGTTACGCCAAATATAGCGTTACTTACGTGTGAACTGGGTATCTTAGAATTTACCTGATTTTTTTAAACGGTGTAGCTAAGCATTTCAGCCTAAAAAAATATATATTTACTCCCATTTCATCACCCAAGCAACAATTTTGGTTTTATGAGCAGGGCAGTTCTTGACCGAATTAAATGAAACAGCTTTCAATCGATCGAGAACTGGTTCAATCATTTTTAAGAATGGTGAGTGTTAATCATATTTATGAAATACGTGGGGTAAAACTATTGTTTAGAAATTTTAGAAATTTGAAAATATTTAATAAATTCCTGATAGATTGCAAGCTGATTCATCAAAATCGGGTCAGAAATAATGAAATGGGAGCAATATTTATTTTTTTAAACTGAATAGCTTAGGTACCGAAAGTTTAAAAATATATTGTTATAGCTTCTTGGGGCAATCTGGGACCCATAAATTCGAAAAGCAGATATGATTTTCCATAGAGTCTATAGCATATGACCTTTCCGAACTTTTTCAGTATGTTGTGCAGTATGCATTTACAAAAAGAAGATCGGATTTTCATACCACAAAACAGATAAGGCTTGTACTCGAAAAATATGCACGTTTAAGATCCGTGGGTAAAAATTGATGAAAATCTGGGTATAACTAGCTTGGAGTGAATTGTTTACATGTGCAAAATTTCATAACAATCGGTTCAGTGGTTATTGAGATGTCATCGAAACAAGAAGAAAATCGCCGGAGAATTTTGCGCGCCGTCATGGAAAATCCGACTGCGACCATGACATGGATCGAAAGACAACTGGGAATCACCCATACAACTGTGTCTCGGGTCAGGCCCGTAGCCAGCATTTGGTTTCGGGGGGAGCTAATTTTATGACATAAAAACTTCAATGATTTATAAAATGTGCGCCTAATTGAACATCGATTGATACACTGTTTTATTTTACCTTAACCAAAATCGTTGAAAATCATGTGTCATCATTTTTTTTTTTTGTTAATTCGTTTTAATTGTTTATCGGAATTTTTAATGAACCATCAGAATGTAAAATAATAATTTTTCAATCTCTTTAATACGCAGTTATGAGAAAAGTTAAACAAATGTATGAATATCAAGAAAATATTTGTAGTTTTAATTGTTTTCTGTTGGTAATGATGATCAAGATTTGCATCTGTTAAGAAAGACAAAAATTTGTGCATATTTTTTAAAACATAATTATTTTAAGATTTTAATGGTGTTGAATCGTAAAATCACCGGCACCGGATCCTAATTCATTTAAATTTATGAAGGCGGTAAATAACAAACATCCCTCGATGCAGTGGTAGCAATGTGATCCACACGAAACACGAACAGCGAATATTGTTGCCTTCATCATTCTGTATGTTTTTAAGGTTTTTGTTTTAGCATCACTGTATTTTTGTTTTGTTTTTGAATTGATCGTTATTCTGTGATATT